CTCATTATTTAGATATAGACATTAATTTAGCAGAAGGCAGTATACAGTTGACTATTTTTGATAAAAGAAGGGAATTTGAGTTTCCCATCCTTGGTTTACCCATCTCTAACAGCATTGTTTCATCGGTATTGTTAAAAGGGATTATGATATCCCAATTTATAGTAATTCATTGATGCATAATGTTAATTTATTCCAAAATAAACTGAAAAATAATGATTATCAAGACTGGTGTATTAAACAATTTTTTTAACTTTTTTATGATAAATATTAAACTATATTAAGGGTTAAGAGAATATATTATGGAAAATTTAGTTTAAGTAGCTAATTCTCATTTTTAGAATAGTTCAATATGCTGGGTCGAAAAAACCAACTTCAGGTAGCTGGTTTGTCTTGGCTCACCTGGTTTTTGCTTGAATGGTAAGGGTGTCCTATTGTGGTTAACATCAAATAAAAGTGTGGAGGTTAGGAGTTTGTAGAAATTAAGGGTGGCTTAGTTTTATTATAAGAATATTATGTTATTTATAACATTAATTAAACGGGTGGAGGTTTGGTGTTTTACTTTGTAGAATATTTATAGAATTTTTATTGGGTTGATTTAATTCTACGTTAAAATTATTTCTAAGTGTTAAGGGTTACTGTTTTCCAACAACTGGCTGCAGACAGCAAAAGGCAGTTGGAGTTGAGACATTGTGGGTTCAAGCACTCAACTCCTAACCCTTAACTGATTCTCCTTACTTGCTGGCAAGTTTTTCATCAGTATTTAGATCTTGCCTGATAGATGGAATATCCCCAATACATTTATGACCACAGGCATTATCCTTTAGGACTTAAGGACGACAGTAAGGAATGGTAACAAAGGCATGGTTTTGAATTTCAGTTTTAATATGCTGATTTTGGTTTATATATATATATATTATTATCACTGTATTAAAAATATAGGACCATCACTCATGGACTTCCTGAGTAAAGCAGATGGTGAATTTTGCCCATCCCTTTTGAACTGTGATTCTTAAAATTGGGGTCATTCTGCTTTTCAGAATAATGATAGCAGGCACCTCCATGGTCTTCAGGTACAAGTCTGCTGTACACAAAAAAAATCAGATATTACAAACATATTTGTCCTCTCTATATGTCTATAAATTGCTGACATTAGTTTGACTCAGCCTCTGACAAGTTGGAGTGCAAGGTGATGTTGATGTAATGAATAAAAATACTTTTCCATCATACAGTTTGCACACTGCATTTACATGGCCTCTAAAACATCCAAAATGTATATCTACTATTTTTTCAGTATCCCTGTAGCATCAAATATACAATACCATGTTAATTTGACACTCAGTAAAAAGTCATAACATGTGCACCTTGACCCCACCTGTGCACATAGGGTTAAAACAGAATCAGCTCATTTTGTAAAGATTTGTTGTTGTTTTTTTACCTAAAACATGACTTTTATGACATATGCATTATCTTCAACCTATTTCTTTAACCATTTACTGTTCTTCTATATATTTTAATGTATAATATACCCATTTAATTATACAGCTTGACAAACCTGGAACTAACAAATCTAGAAAAGTTAAATGGAAAACATGAAATAAAAGAAATAATAAACAATGCCCATAATGTTTGGAAAATTATCTAACCTGGGTTTTCCCTCCTGACTTTTCCTGTACCAGACTACGTGATAAAGCAGCAGCACAAGGAAAACACGCAAAAAAAGACGAGAACAAGTTGGCAGAGCCTATAGCTAAAAGTTCCTTCCAAAAATAAAACAAAATAATTAAGTTGTTTTTGTTCATATGATCTTATGATAATATTTTTGTTCCAAAAATGGACCATTTATTTAGTAAGAACACAAACAGAAGAAAGGTTTGGCTAAGTATATGTGATTGCGTTTAGTAATGAATTATTAGCACAGAACCTAGTGCTTTCTCTTGTGTGATTTGAATACTCTTATGGCTCACCCACTGCCTTAAATTATGGAGTGCATTTTTGCACTAATGCAAATATCAGCCCTCAGATTCATAGAGTGAACAAGCTAACCAGTAGGTCAAACTCAGACCATTTAAAGTATTATCCTAATACAATATGTCAGTTTCTATTTTGGAAATAAAAAATATCTTTTCTTCGTGTAAGACCTAGTTCATTACACAAAGAGATGCTGTGAACAAATTTCCTAAGCCCATTTTAAATTTTTCTCAAAGTTCAGTTTTTGATTTCAGAATACATAATTTACTAAACACAATATCTTAAGAATAAAAAGATTAAAAAATTCTGGTGACTGTAAGATTTTCCATTTAGCACGTCTATTGTAACCATAGTATTTGAGTGTGTAAAATGAAACTTTGTACTATACATTTTATCTTTACTTCAGTTTATATACAATTAAACCTTAAAATGCTACAACAGCTACAATAATACATGTTTTTCAATCTATACAAATAAATACACTGAGACTGTTGTGAGAACTACTTGACATACATTCAAATGTTTTAGTTGTTTAAGATTTTATACAGAATGAAATTCAAAAATTGACAAACATTTGTACTGACATAAATTCTTTCAGGAGAAAACACTCACATCTTAAGTTTTTGAACAATTGCAGCAAGTTACACTCTCTAATTTCAGTTAGATTGTTTGTTTGCTCCATTTACAGAAGCAGCTAAAAACGATAATATAACAAACACAATATAATGAAGAATGTTACAAATTCATTAGTCTACAGAGATACAATATAAAATTACTGTCAATTTGAATAATTAATCCTAATTTTGCTATAATAATTTTTCAGAAATAATTATAGGAATTTATTTACTTTTTACAGTATATTCTACTCTACAAGTGTTGTGATATTAGATTGTGTAAAGTTGAATGTTCTTAGCTAAATAGATTAATTTACACAAAGTTTTTATCTCCCATGGGTATATTAAAATGATAACACTTAACTGGATTTCTATACATAATTTTTGCAAACACTAATAACTTTCAGCTACACGTACAACTTCTCAGTTTTAAAAATGTATCTCTACACTAGCACTATAGCTGCTATTAATGGATGTAAGTCATTTAAACAATTCAGTTTTAAGTATACTTTACCTGATTAGCATCAACAACATATTTATGTTTTTTTGCAAATATCTGGGCAAGTGAATAAGAAATAGTATAAGAAACGGCACTGACAGCAAAACCATCAACAACCAGAGATGGAATCAAGTCCATACGTGGTGCAACAGGTTCTGGAAGACTGAAGAAATTGAAAAACATCTAATGAAACAATATAAAATCAGGACTTGCAATCCTTTACCATCTATTATTATATTATATTATTATATTAAATTACTGACTAAGACCACAACATTTTCTGATTCGTGCTTCAGTGCTCCTTAAATTAGGAAAACATATTACACTGTTAAAAAATAATGTTCCTGCAGGATGATTAAAATACACTTAACCATTTTACCCAAGAAAATATATATCAGGTTACTTTCAATTAAAAATCTAAACTTCTGACAATACATAACTTCCTACTGAATAATAATATGTGAAATAGTTCAAACAATGTTTTCTTATATTTCTATCAATTTTCTTTGAATATCTTTAACTGTAAAAGAATCAGAGAGGGGCCTAATGTACCACAATCTTTATAAAATAAATGAAATACTTATTGTACTTTGGGATTATTAATAACTAAAAACTCAAATTTTTAAGCAACAAGAAAAAAAAAGGTAAAAAAATTATAGAAAAACTCTGATAAGTTTTGACCTCCTCAAAGCAAGATAAAGGTGATACAACATAAGAGCACAAAGTACCAAAAAAAAGGAAACATGACTATATCTGGTAAAAATTCTGTTGAGGTAAAATTGTACAATAGTGTGTAACAACAGATAAGCATCATCACATGAAGATATGTAGTTATTTTGCATACAGGAAATCTGTATGCAAAATTATACAGAAGGTGGACAGAATACATTGAAAAAGGAATAACTACATTTAATTGTTAACTCAAATTTAAAGTAAAGGCACAGCATTGTATTTTTATAACTTTTCAAATTTGTTTATTTGAAAGTAATATTAAAAATAAAGTCAAATTATTTTATATTAGTCATCATAAACAAGCTGACCTGAAAGAACTCTTGATATTGTACTGAAGGTCACATAAGCCATGACTTATACAAGGCAAAGAGACCTTGCAAATGATATCAATGAAACCTCTAAGTAGAAATCCAGTGAAACAGTAAAAAGCAAGCAAAAGAAGCTTACAAAAAAAAAATACAAACTATGAATAAATGGTAATACAGAATTAATGCTAAAAAAAATTCCTGGAACATTTACCTAACAATAATGCCAATATTTGTTTTCCAAATGCACTTTAGAAGAAAAGTTTTCAATAACTACAACCATCGGTTACAATGTAAAGATTGCCTTCTAGTACCAAAATTAAAAACACTTTCAAGAATATGCATCAACAAATGCAGTCAGCCCAGGCAAAATTATCTGGAGAAAGCACCTTGGATCCAGAAGATTATGTTATTGCATAATCAATAAGTATAACAACAATATCTCTCTTCTCACTGAGTGGGTACATATGATACATATGAGCTATAAAGTTTGATTTAGTGTATTGTACAAACCCCACTCACGAGGAAACCTTCATGGTCCACCTCTCCAGCAACTGGGAACCCGAAATGACAAGCACTCCTGTGCTTCATTAGAAAAGGGTGGAGGGATATGAGTTTGGGAGTCTAGAGGAACGACACAATTTGACTAAAAACTTGCTATATTTTGTATAGATACATGTAG